AGACAATTCACTGAGTGACCGGTGGGAAATGAGGATGGCACTAGCCGGTCGATAACTGACTCCCCACACGGTGGACATCGCTGCTCTCGGTGAGACTCACTTCTCCCGCAGATAATGCATGCTTTATTTCTTCCACTGAAAGGGCTCACTGCACTGAGGTTCTTACAGCTCCTGGTTGCTAAATCCACGGCTGGTACTCCCCCCCCCTCCTGAAGCGATGATTTTAATGTGATCTTCTCATTCCAAACTCAGGTGATCTGTTGACGATCACGGCGGATTCCTCTGTCTTCGCCACCTACTACCAATTTGGTCGCCCAACAGAAAAATATCATGGCTGCATCCTCCCGCGCCTTAATGATCCTCGCGGCCTTTAACGTCGCCTCCTCGCTCGGACTCTAAGCAGACCATCGCATTGGGTTCCTCCTGTTTTGCCACACTGATGGTTGCTTCTGCTGCCATCCCAAAAATATTTGATCGCATCTGCAGCGAATAGCCTCGTCGGGTAAGGAATTCTGAACACCATACAGTGTTTGCCTACTCGTTGTAAAATTCACTCGAAGATGTGCTTTTATTTATGATTAAATTGTCTTTATCGGTGCTACATGAAACTGCATATATGTTTAGGGCCACGTTCATAATCTCCGATGCCGCCATAGACCCGCTCCCTCACATGGATACAAATAATGCCCGAGACCTCCCGCCTTCCCTTTCAGAAACAATTAGAGCCGTACACCAACCCTCTAGTGGGAAAGCACCGGGATCGGACGCGATCCCGGCCTAACTCTACAGGCTTGGCCCTTCCCGACTGACTCACAAACTAACGAAGAAGTTCCGGGAGATATGACACCGAGAACTAATTCCCGAGGATTTCAAGGACTCGACCATCGTTATCTCTACAACCGGATAGGGAACCGGTAACTCTGTGACAGATACAAAGGAATCACCAATAGAAGAGAAGAGTCCCAGGAAGCAGTCTTGAAGAAGGAGACACGATCGCTGGGACAAGAGCTTTATTCGCCTGACGATTCGGATTCCTGCTCGAACCCACTGTGGCTTCCGACGAAACTGCGGAACCAGAGACCTGATCCTCACCGTCCGCCAGCTGCAAGATTCCAAAAGATGCAGACCCAACTCTACACTACCTTCGTGGCCCTTAATGAAGCCTTCGGTACGGTAAATCGTGATGGATTCCGGAAAATGATGCGAAAATTCGGTTGTCCCGGCCGATTCGTGCACACGTTGCGTCAGCTCCACGACGGGATGATGGCGCGCATCACGGATAATGACACAGTCTTGGAAGCATTCGCAATGACCAACGAAGTGAAGCAGGGCTGCGGCTTCGTCTCCACCCTCTTCAATCTCGTGTCCTCTGCAGTGCTGGTGGACGCCTACTCTGATGTGCGTCCTGGGATTCGCATCGCCTACAGGCCTGACGGGCATCTCCTTAACAGCAGGCGCATGCTGAACCTAACGCGTCTATTCACGGCTACCGTCTACGATCTGCCCTTCGCCGTCGACTGCGTGCTTAGAACTGCGACAGAGGCGGACATGCGACGCAGCCTGTATCCCTTCGCCGCCGGCTGTGCACACTTCGGACCGACCACCAACACGGACAAGACGGTGATCATGCCCCCTGTAAATGGCCCCCAAATCTGAACAGTGGACAAATCTGCCTTTTTTGTGCAATACACTCACACAGAACCAAAACAAACGATGAAATTGAGCATCGGGTCTCCAAAGTTAGTCAAGCCTCCCACCGGTTGCAGGTCTCCGTTTGGAAGCGCCATGGTCTCCATATCAACATGGAACTCAAGATATACAAAGTTGTCAATTAACAACGCTGCTGTGCGTAGCAGAAACCTGGACAGTCTACTAGAAACAGGTTAGGGAACTCAGCCGCTCCCACCTCAGCTGCCTTCGAAGAATACTGAAGCTGAGGTGGCGAGACAGGATTCCGGATACAGAGGTCTTTTAACAAGCCAGAATCCTCAGCATTCACGCCGTGCTGAGGCAAATTCAACTGCGTTTGAGCAGCCACCTTGAGGGGAGGGATGACGAGCTCCAAAACTCGGAGACCTCGTCCGGGACCGACCGACCGACCGACCGACCTGGGAATGAGCAGTGAAGACAGGAGCACCAATCTATGAAGCCAACCAAGTCGCCGTCGCCAAAGTCAAAACAGCGGCTCACAAGTCTCAAGCACCTCCGAGCCACAACGCCAACACCCAACCCACTTCTAAAATGTACTTTTACTTGGTACAGCTGTGATCATGCTTGATCTAGCCGGCCTTTATGATTTTACTTATTGTACTTCTTCGCGCGTGGCGGTCTGCGACAGCGAATCTGGACAGCCTCGCCCCGAGGCATTTAAAACTGTCTACTTCTTCAAGTTGACGGCCATCAATCCCGAGAGGTGCCTTCTCCTGGTCAGGTACACAGCTCGAAAACAATTTGGCCTTCCCAACGCTTACTGATGAACCGTCCAGAGCGGCAACTTCGTCCACCCGTGGCACCACAGACCGTAAGTAACCAAAACATAGGGCTAAGAAGGCAGTATCATCAGCGCAGTCGAGATCAATCAGCCGACGTCCGAGTGAAGACTCGACTTCGTCGAAACCTTCCAAGAATCCAGTCAATGGCGTAGTTTGACAGAAAGCGTGAAAGGACACAACCCTGTCGAACTACATACTGAATATCGGAAGGCCAGGATATACAGCTGTCGACTACAACCCGCGCAGTGTTCGGACGATAGCAGGCCTTCATAACGACGATGATTCTGGTCGACACACCATCTAATTCCATCATTCATTTCAGGGACTCATGGTAAACGAAAATAAATGCAGAGACGAAGTCAATAAGGCAGGCTGTCTACGGTTGTTGGTAAACATGGCAAATTTTGTAATGCCTCTCTCCGTGAACATCTGGTCCGCGCATATGCGTCCAGTTGGGCATCCGGCTTGATTGGGCTTCGCTCTACAGTCACGCACAGTCTGGAATCGCCTGAGGACAACACCGAAGACCTTCGTAGAAATGTCTATGAGAGTTATGCCGCGGTAATTCACACACTTGATCTCCCTTCTCGATGACATACAAGGATGCCCGAGTTCCAGTAAACAGGAACGACCTCATCTCCCACGCCTGCTCAGTAACTTCATGAAACCAGGCCACCAGGGTGTAGATACAAGACTTGACGGTTCCAGTGGGAATATCGTCCACCGCGGGTGCCCTGTTTATGTGCAGCCTCTGTAGTACATCGACAACTTCACCTTTTGAAGGGGCGTCGCATGACACTGCATGGGTTGGAGGTGTACAAATTCCGCTGCAGAGGAGAAAGAGGGTGTGACGGGTTGCCTATCTAAGTTGAGGTGTTCGCATTGTTCACGCCAGCAACCGACCCTGGCTGGGTTGTTAGCAATAAGACCGCTAGTTACATTGCGAACATATCCACTAGGCGTCGAGGGCTTACCACTAACTTAACGGACAACTTAATACAGTTCTTGACGGTCACTAGCAATTGCTATTTCCGCCCAATATTTCGTTAGGCCATCTCTGGCCAACTTTTCCATCATTTTCTGGAGGTGGCGCGTCGTTTCCGGACCTGACTCGAGCCGCCCGAGCATAAAACTGCAGGGTTGTCCCGCCGATCCAGTCGCTACAGCGCCGCTGGGTGAATCAAAGAATTTTCTCGGCTGCCCCATAGACTGATGACTTCAGTGATGGCCATTGGCCACTGCCCTCTGTCTGGGCACGGGTTGCAAAATGGAACCGGATTTCCGGCCTTGGAGGTGCTGAGTTGTTGGAGTTTTGCGGCATCAAGGCGTCCGCACCTGACATCCTGGGTGCAGATGAGAGAGGAAATTTTAGGCATGTTTGAACGAGAATATTGGTAGACCAATGGGAGTTACCAGTCTCAGCACCATGCATTGATCCCCTATCGCAGACCCATTAAAATGCAGACTATCTGACTGGCCGTATAGCGATCGTTTGTATACCGGGTCAGATTCTTGTGGCGATGCTGGAAGCACGTGTTTGGTGACAGTCGGTCCTCATCGGCAAAATTTAGCATTTCCTAATCGTTTACGCATCGAGGGTCAAGTCAAAAGTGGCTAGTAAAGTAGCGATTGTTTGAAGGGTTGCCAGGTCCAATTCGCTCGTCCAATCCCCAGCAATAATCAGCCAATCACGTGGATGCGGTCTTCCAAATAATCCCCGCATCTGGGAGTAGAAAGTCTCTTCTTATTGCGCTGTTCGGCAATTTGTGTTAGTGCGTACCGGAGATGACAGAGATGTTCGTAACGTAGCCCTTTAATCTCACGTAGGCCATTTGGTTATTAACAGGTCCCCTTGCATGTAGTGCACGATCCACTTGTTCCTATAGGACGATAGGCACACCGTGTCTGCCGGAAGTCGCGTGGGCCGCCGTTGTACAGGGTGAAGGGGGAATCGACTCCCGGTATCTTTATTTCCTGAGCGCCCGAGTAGGGGATTCGGACAGGCAGCAGGTATCCATGTCGTAGTGTGACAGTCTGCTTACGAGATCACCAGAGCGTCCACTCACTCATACCGCCTCCTCCGCCTCACGCTCCCCGTCAATTCGCCACTGAAGCCGCTCACAACTTAGCACCAGCTCGCGACAGCTCGGAGCCAACCAGCGCTATACCTTAGATGATTGGCTGCAGGCGGACACATCAAAGGCGTGTACAAGTGATGCCGAGATAGAACCTCGAAGTCACACTTCCCTGGTGAGAACGCCATCCGCAAGTCCTTGCGATACCGTCTGTACGCTCGTCGTCTAGGTAAAGGCCAGTCCATCTAACTGCCTTTCGGGTTTGAGAATCCTCAGTTTGTCGACCATCCTACTTCGACCCCACTCGCCTGCACCACTGGACCAGGGTTGCGGAACGCGGCAGTGCCGGCCAGTTCCCAACAGGAACTCGGATTGTTTATTCTAGGTTGCCAACTCCAGCGCTTTGGCTCGGGAACCTAGCCATGAAGCGTCAGCGGCAGGCAAGCCCATTTAATGGCAGTTCGTGGTTGCCGTCTCACAGAGCCGAAATCAGGTTTCGAGGCATTTTATAAGGTAATTAGCGAGCCAGGCCACAGCCCTACACGCCCCGGTAACATTTTCGCTGTTGGCCCGTGACCGCTTATTCGTCAGACTTACTGCTTACTTGGCGCCTAACCTTTGCTGAAGACCGTTCTACAATCCGCCGCCCATGGACACGTCGAGTAGTTAACCGCAAGGCTAACAGGCAACCCGTCTTCTAAAATTTCCATGCCGCCAACGGATATTCCGCGCACAGATTGGCCTCGACGGACATCTTCGGGCCCAGTGTCACAACAGCCAGCCAACTCCACCTACTGCCTTCGCGAACGCTCCCATCGTCACCCCCTGACGCAACCTATCCGACGTAGATCGCCGCCTCTACCGGTGGTCAAACTCTTAATGTCCAACCGCCTTTTATCACCGCCACCCCATCACCCCCATGACAAACCCGCGCCGACGACTACCACCCCTCCAACTCGCACCACTGGTGTGAGTACTCCCAACGTCCCGAGACCCATCACCGCCATTGTTACCTGCAATGCAGACCCGATTCCAAGCTGACCTCATTGCGATTGCACGTCCACATCACGCGTCGTCCTATTCGGTCGCTTGCAAACCCATCACTCACGAAACAGGCGCACGTCGCCTAAGCGGAAGAGTGGTATTCGACCCCTTCTCCACGTGGACTCCACCACACTAACACAGTTGAGGTCCGAGTCGCCCGCCCACTTCGTGTGAAATCCTGGTGGGGGTGGACGGGTTGTGTGTTGCTCATGCAGTGACGGCTTTTAGTCCCGTCAGCCACTGGGCCCAATCCGCGCATCGGCCAACTGGCTGGCACGGACAATCGACTGGTTTACGTGAGAGGGAAGACTGCTCGTTGCACACATCCCTCACTATAAACAACCTGACGCGCTTGAACCTATCACGGCACGCGTAACCCGCGACTCGGACGGCCGTCAACTGAAAATATAACCCAGCCCTCCAGGACGGACAGTTTTACTGCGATGGCTCCTCGACGCCGCCCCTACAGCACTCGCATTCAGTGGGGAGGTGAGCCGTCCACTAGTTGTTTTGGTGAAAACACGGTCGCTGGTGCACTGACCAGGTGCGCGTAGCACGCGCATACGGACTGCTTAGTCCTGCCAGTCAATTTGCCCGACCCTGCCTCCGGTGTTCTTGATACCGGCCGGAGAATGGCGAGGAAAAACGGAGTGCGGTAAATGCAGCACAGATCTACAACTACTGCAAACTAACGCCGTCGACATACATCCTCATCGTCCACCCCATGCTGTTACAGATTAAACTGCCATTTTGGACGAATAAGGTGTTTCCATTTGAAGTACCTTCAACGATCGACTCACAACACAAGTTAATATTCTCGATCCCTGCGTCCTTTGTCCGCGTTAAAACTCCTTCCAACAAGGCTGCCTAGTCTAAGACCTAGTTCTTTAACACAGATAGGTTAGGACCAGTAGCTACATCGCTGGAACCGCACGGCCCTTAGCGCCCGCTCTCGGCACTCCGTTCGCTCCCAGTGGAGGGTGCAGTGAGGGCCATCAGACAAGTCCGCAACACCAGTGTACCCGTCTTAACGAGGTCTGCCAAT